AATATCACGTACACTTTTTGTACTGCTACCGTACAGTTACACCGTACACCGCCATCTCGTGGCAGTACAGTAACAGTACGGTAGCGGTATCTTGTGCGAGTTGGTGTCGGTATCGCACACTTGTCTATCTGGGGGGCAAATATAAAAACTACATAACGCGGCTAATAAAAATAAAAATGTGTAATATTGTCTTATCGATTTAATTTCTGTGACACAATTCCTATAGAGAATCTGAATATTAAATTGATTTTTTTTAAACCGAGCAACAATTCTCTCAATACGGAAAATTATTCATTTATTAACACTATTTAAGATACAAAAAAATTAAAGATACAATTTCTATTTAGCAAAATCTTATTCTGATTAAATGTACTTCTTTAATAAAAATGCATTTAGTTAATAAAAGTTAAATGTGTGATATAAATTATATTTGTTATGCGTGTTTTCTGCAGTCACGTCATGACGGCAGGCTGTGCTCGGTTTTTGCTGTAATTTTGTTGTCAGTACATGTGACAACAGATTGTGTACGATTTCTTTTGCGTTTTTGCTTTCATCAACTGATAAGGAAAATTGCGTTCTATATCTGCTGCGTTTTTGCAATCACGTCATGACGGCAGGCTGTGCTCGATATTTGCTGTAGTTTTGCTGTCAGTATTTGATATAGTAACTCGTGTCGTAGTCTCATCACGATTTCGCTGTCACAATTTGACGTCAAATCATGCATGATTTCTGCTGTCTTTTTGCTTTTAGTATTTGAAATGGCAACCTTTGCCCAATATTTGCTACGTATTTGCCGTCAAGATACTTATAGCAAAGAATGCTCAATTTCTATTGCATTTCTACAGTCATTCTATGTTGGCAGATTATGCTGTTAGAAACTAAGCTTAATGAGGAAGCAGTAGCTTGATATCTGCTGTAACGTCATGATCAAGTTTGCTGGCATACTGCTAGCATTTTGCTATCTGGGTATGTTGATATATGATAACTGTTTATTTAAAGTAAGCAAATAGTGACGTCTTGTAAGGTAAGGGTTAATCTGACAATGAATGTAAAATACTCAACTCACTTCAGACTCAGTTTCACTTGTGTGTAAATGGAAAGCAACTATTATATATGTTTACTCGTTCTGTTAACTTGATCCCCTGATTATAGGCACAAAGCGTATCCATATTTATAAGATCTATGTTTCTGCATTTACAGGAAATTACCCTCTCCTCCCAAAACTCGCGCCACATGTTTGCGCCTTGTGGAACAGCATAAAGTATACGTTAATTAAATCAACAAAAGACATTTTACTTGAAATAAAAGGATTCTTTAAATTCTTATTATATACATACATTTCCGTACTAACGCTAAATATTCCTAAAATATTCATTTAAAAAATCCTCAAAAAAACGTTCGAAGAGTATTCTGGAATATCCCAAAATATTTATGGAATGTAACAGCAATATTCAAATTCGGTTACAAATTCTATTTATACAGGATGTTTCTTCTAACTTGATCATTCTGTTTAAAATGTCTCCGTTGTTTTTGATGATACGAGAAAATACCACAGGGGATCTTGTTCGATTCAAAGGGGGACATATTACAATAAGCAAAAAAGTTTTCTCAAGATCATATTTTTTTCACCTCTACTTTTTTAAATAGAATTGTATAATTATTTTTACAAAATGTGATTCCTCTAATTATTCTGCATATAAAAATATTAAGATAGTGATAACACAAAATCAATAGTATACAAGGTATTTTATATTTTATTCTGGCATATACAGAGTTAGGCATTTAAAACAGGTCACCTGAATAACTCG